GTGAAATACTGGGATTTGAAAGACATTGAAACTTCCTAGTCTTTTCTTTCTTTTTCTTTCTTCCTCCCTCCCTCTCTCTCTTTCTCTCCCTCTCTTTCTTTCTTTCTTTCTTTCTTTCTTTCTTTCTTTCTTTCTTTCTTTCTTTCTTTCCTTCCTTCCTTCCTTCCTTCCTTCCTTCCTTCCTTCCTTCCTTCTCATTACAGAGTATATTAACTACTAAAAAGCCAGTTCTGGGAGTGGGTGGGGGGAAGTGGTGGATGTTGTATAAATAACTTACACTCAGTGCATCAAAAAATAAATGTATTATCTTTTCTCTTTCCCTACTTCCCCTCTCCTTCCCTCCCTTCCTTTCTTAAACCTCATTCCTTCCACAGACATTTACTACTCACATACTGTCGCCAGATAGGATACCAGGGAATGAGTATGCAGTCATGAGTAAGATAGTTACAATCCCTGCCCTCATGCAACTTACAAACTAGCTAGTAGACTCATTTAACAAATGAATTACAGAAACAATTATATCAAAGTAGAGTTGGTAAGTACTATGAAGAAAAGCTCAAAATTCAGTACAAGTAAATAATATGTAAAGAAGATGAAAATCCAACTCAGTCAGGGGATCACCAATCCAGGAAAGCTGAAGTGGGGATGGTGAGGTTTCTAAGCAGAGTTAACATAGTTTTACCCAGACTGATGCATCTTCTTTGTCATCTCTTTCCTTTCAAACACAATCATCTTCCCAGTCACCCAGGCTTAAAGTCTTCACATTATTTTTGATACTTTATTCTCTTTTGCCTCAACAAATAATCAGCTGCCCAATTTTCTTGATCCAGCATGTTCTTTCCTCTATTCTCATGAATGCCTGAATTCCCATCCTCATGACAGTAGTTATATCCTTCTTTACCATTTTCCTACAGCTGTATTTTTTCTTTCATTCGACACATATTTATGAGCACTTTTTGTGTGCCAGGACTGCTAGCAACGGTATTACAGAATTGAACATGATAAACATGATTGTCACAGAGCCTACAAATCTAATACAGCGCTGTGGATCTGGTGCTATAATCAAGTAGGGGCAGTGTGCTGAGCCCACAGGGAAGGTTTCCTCTTTCCAGAAGAAGAGAGATTTAGTCTGAAGCCTACAGGGTGAATAGCAATAAGCCACGTGCAGGTGAGGCAGTTGGATTATATAAGGAGCATCCGGTCAGAAGGGACAGCATGTACAAGAATTGGAGGGTTGGCATAGGTGAAAGTAATGAAGTTAAATAGTGGTAAGCTGGTGTCTATCATCCTAAGTAATTTAAACTTTTTTATAAGAGCCCTGGGAGCCACTGAAATGTTCTTGCAGGAGAGTTAAGGTAGCAGAAGCATTTGGGGACTGGACTAAAGGGGGGTGCTGAAATAAGATATAAGAACAGGAAAAAGTTTGGTGAGGGAGATGACAAATGCATTTTGTTTTGTTTTGTTTTTCTCCCAACTGGCCTTCTCACGTTCAGTATCTTCCCCTTCCATAGCATCCAATCCTCACGCATGCTGCTCCCTGGAACACACTTCTGATCTCAATTGAAAGAAGTTTAATGACATGTCTGCCCAGAGAATAAAATCTGAATTCCTCATTCTTCTATTCAAAGCTGGTCCCATCTCTGTTTGAAAGCTTGATTTTTAGTGTTGTCCTTTATGTCTTCCTGGCTGTAACTATATACTCTACACTCTTGAAGCTCTCCCACAACCATGACTGTCTTGGACTCCCTCCCTCTTTCCTGTTCGATTACATACTTAAACCATCTCCTCCTCGGGTTGTTACTCAGGATAACTTTACTTGTTTCCACTGAGAGTCATTTCCCTTTTCTCTGAATCCTCTATATGATTCAATTCACAGTATAATAGCATTTGTCACCTCCCCCGTTCGGTAGAACTATCTAGAGAGGCAAGAGATGAACTCTGGAACTCAACTGCCTGGATTCAGATCCCAGCTCTGACATTTCCTGGCTGGGTGACACTGAGCACATCTCTTACATTGTATATGTGTCATTCCTCCTCTGTAAAATAATGTTCCTACAGTATAAGGTGTTGTGGGGATGAAATAAGTAGATACTGTAAAAATGCTTAATTTCATGTCTAGCAATAGTGCTGTATAAACTTTGGTATGACCATGCCATTGTTCCATTGCTTTTATCATTTACATGTAGCATCCACTCTTCTAAACTATAACCTGATGACCTAATGCACATCGGATTTATTCTTATGACTTCTAAATCACTTACTGCCTCAAACAGAGTAAATAATTATGTGAATTAGAATCACAGTGGATAGTGAATTGTAATTGAACTTTTCAAATAGTTTATTTTGAATATAACATTTTCTTTGTTAAATTGGCTAAAATAATCATTGATCAAATATTTAATATATGTAAATTTTCTGTGTGTGAAGCACACAGAATATTTGGAAAAACATGCCTTTGATTTTACATCGATTCAGGGAGACACCCCCCATACAGTTAACTACAGTATAAGATAAAGTAAAAAAAAGTATACAGTCAAAATGTGATTATAGGAATTCAGAGAGAGTGGGTGGAACAATCAGGAAAGAATTCACTGAGATAAGATGTAATTATACTGTAGTGAGAATGGTAACTTTTAAAACAAAGCATGCATAAATCAACTCTCCTAATGGTATTAGCCAAAATGTATTGAATGCTCAATGTACCAAGCACTATGTTTATCACATTCAAACTTCAAAACAGTACCACCTGGAAATATTAGTGTTGTGTTTATTGTAAAGATGGGAAACCAAGACATAGCAAGGCAGTGTTAAGTAATTTGTCGAAGACACAACTAGTAAGGAATAGAGCCAGGACTGGAACCCAGGGAGACTGGATTCGGAGCCTGTGTTTCTCTACTACAAAATCAGGAGTTCTACTTCTACTATTGCCAACCATTTCTAATGATATATTTTATTAAGTTCAACAAAATTTCACTTTCTGTGATTTTTAAGCTTATACCTCATCTATGGATATTGAAAAAATTGACTATTATTCTTTCATGGATTTCTGACCAGCTCAATCTTTCATTTACAGTAACAAATCCGCAAATTCTTCATCTGTGAAATAAAAGTCTGAAGCTATAACAGTAGTCCCTAAACAATTCAAGAGCAATTTTTTCTTTCAAAGTAAAAAAATACGCAGACTTTTATATTACATTGTTCACCCTTTGCTTCTTCATTCCCTTATTCATGTTCAGTGTGCAATGGAAAACTTTGCAATAAGTCACAGGATTTTACAGCTTCCAAGAATCCACTGGGCTAGAATAATCTTTAGAGGCATTTCTAGTGGAAACATTTGAGATTTTGTATGTTCTAGACTTTAGGTCTCTCTCTTTCTAATTTCCACTCTGTCATTTCTCTCTGCCATGAATACCATGTGATCCCGTAATCCCTGAATCTTCTATCAGGTTTTCTCTATTTGTTTTTTTCCTCCTAAATTTTCCCTTCTTCCTTTAGCTCAGATTCCTTATTAAACAATACAGCCTCTTTTGCAGAACTTTTAATTACTATCAGACCCCATGTAAAGGAACTATTTCTAAATATGTGAGCTAAAACTTAGAATATGCATTTGCAGAATTTTAACTTGTTTTGTGAAAATAGTCCATACAAGAACTGTTTTTTATATCAATTTTTGGACGACTCCAAACACTTTCCTGGTATATTGAATTTTGAAATCAAATCTTTATCTCTGTCTTCAGCATAGACCTAGTAAATTAGAATATTAAGGGCAAATACCACATATACACAAAGCAACATTATCTCAAGGCCACACCTATTTTCACCTTCCTTTGATTTCTGCATACTGCCAGCCTTTTTTCCACACCTTGAGAATTTAATTCTAATGGTATTAGAAGTACTTAGTTTAATAACTTCATACGGTAGAACTACTTGAGAAATACCAGCAGAGAGTTATAGGTAATGTCATTTTTGGCCCTGCTGGAGCGAGAAGATATCAACACCCACCCCATGTCCCCCAGCCATGCTTTATGTTTCCCAATATTTACATCTTTGGAATAAAAAGCCTAAAATAATGCTCAAAGTTTTAGGAGTGAGTATATTTTTCTGCTATGATGACCTTGTTTTCAGCAAAATCAGTTCAGGCCATCTGCTCCAACATAAAAGTCTACATTTTTCTCAACAGCATTTATTATTTAGATTGCTTAAACAGGGCCTATTCCTATTCTATGAGGGCTTGTTGAAAACCACCAGTAGCATATGAAAGGTAGCACATACAGTGTCTTGCACATGCCTTTTGACCACCCCCTGGAAGTGGCCACGTGTTCTCTGTATCCCACTGAACTTGCACAGCTGTTTATACACCACCTGTGCTACATTAATACAACTCCTCACCTCCACGTCTCTCTTTTTTTATTAGCCTTTGGATCTACAGCTTCTAGGATACTATCTGGCTTATGGTAAATCTTCATTAATATTTGCTCAGTGAAAACTCTGGAGTGAGAAGAGAGGAATTAGTGAAACAATTGAGCCGAGTATTAAGTGAAGGAATTGGTACGGAGTGGTAGATTGATTGGGGAGTACAGTACAGGCTAGTCCTCACAGGGCTAGTTCAGACAGGACAAAGGTACTGCCAGAGTGTGGAGATGGGAATCAGCAAGTCTTCAGTGGAGTATGAAAATAGAGGCCAGCCTGGCTGGCCCAGCTGGAGAAATAAAGAGAGTTAAGTTTGAATGCACCAAAGGCTTAGAGACGATTGATAGAAACTCCTGAAAGTTAGAAGTTAAGGAACTTATATTTGGTTGGAAAGCAATAGGGAGACTCTACTGTCCTTTGATTTGGACAATGAAAGATCAAAACAGTATTTTATAAAGTTTTATGCAAAAAGATGTGTGCTTATGTCAAAATTCATATGTGTTCAACATCAGATTATGAAATACTGATTTTAGTCTATGGGTCATCAGTTGATCCTGAAGGTCTTTTTTCTTTCTCTTCTCATCCCACAGGTTGTTATTTTGTACTTTGAGCCAAGCACATTTCGCTGTATTCTCCTAAGATGGGTCCGTCTTCTCGGTTTTGCTACTGTTTATGGAACTGTCACTCTCAAGCTTCACAGGTATATTTCCCGAGTTTTCATTCCCAGGGGAGGATCAAAGTGGCTTAGCATGTCATTGCAAGCTGGGTCAGCCACATACATGATTTAATTTCAAGAATTTAGATAGCAATACGATATATATTTTTCATTTTCAGGGCAATATCATTAAGATTCTCTAAGGAAATCCTTAACACAACTGAATTTGAACAAGAAGCTTTAATAAAATATGCCATTGGGTATGAAAGTTTTAATTCTGAATAAAAAATAGAGTGAAGGCAAGACAGTATTTACCAGCTAAGAACAGGAAAGAAGATAAAGACAGTACAGCTGAAATAATAGTCCAGGTTCAGAGCTACCAAAGAATCCTTACATAGTAGAACTAAGCAACTGGACAGAAACTACTGTTCTCTTCATTCATAAATCACATGCCCCAAGGTGATCTGCTGATTCTATGGCTGAATTTCAAAATAAATAAATAAATAAAAGTGTTCTTGACTTATCTCCTTAACCAGTGTGCTCTACTGATTATCAACCTTGTAAATTAGATAATAGTATAAATTATTTTATACTTAGTTTCAAAACCACCCACTTTTGTTAATGTATATGATAAATATGAAGAAGGAAGAGGCAATATATATCATTACCTCTGCACAAAAGGGTATCCCTTGCCTCCTCTTTCCAAGCTCTCTCAATGCAGTGCACCAAAGACCATCAGAGAGAGAACATAATTTCTCCTGCACAATATATCTGCAGCTCTGTAGAGTAAAACCTTTACGCTGATTAGCTTTAAAGCTGTTTTTATAACCATAGTAAGCCATTCATATTTCCATGCTAATTTGATCGTTAAGTGTTTCTCAATAAAAGTATTTTAATATGGCTCAGAAAACAGTTTATCTTAGAGCCATAATATGTGTATATTTTTCTTTAAATGTTCCCCTTTCAGTCTTTCTTAAAATGTGGTCATTATGCTGTCTATTGCACAAGAAGCTCCATTTCTTTTCCTGGTTGTTGTTTTTTTGTTCTGTTTTGTTTTGCTTGTCTTGTTTCATTGGTACTTACTTACTGGGAATGCTCCAGACTATCTTTTTGTAATAAATGTAAATATCGTTAACTCTCAAGATTCCTTTCTTTTATATATGTACACAGAACATTGGACTTGGCTTTAGGAAATCCAGCTTAAATCTCAGTTCAGCTTCTAACTCTAGGAAAGCACAGCCTTCTATTTCTTGTAAATGGAAAGGCTTGGACCAATCTCTAATGTTCTTTCTGACAATTCATTGTATTCTTTCCGCATCACTGCACACTTTGCTATTATGTTCTTGTAGTCTTCAAGTGTCTTCCAGTTTCCATTCCTTATATGATAGCTATTTTTCAGCTAGTGTTCACCAAAGGAAATGAGTAATCATTGTTATTGCCTGTAACAGACAATAAGCCTTCTAGAAATCCTGAGAGGAAAGGATGACCTCTTGAGATTTAAAAATTATCTTTCTCCCTATGAGTCTAACACTTAGCATCTCTTGGGTCCTTTATTATATAATACAGTTTGTTTAATTATCTTCTTCATTTTTACCTAATTTACGTTCTCTTTGAAGTGGAAGTCTTACCATTGAATTAGCACAATGACTGATACACTGGAGATGTTTAATATACATTAGTCGATGATTGAATGAATAAAAATGTCAGATGCAATCTTGGAAGCTGCTCCTAACAAATCTCTTCACACATAACACGTTCATAGGCCCCTGACTCACTGTATGTCCCCAAGTGTCTAGAACATATGACTCTGTGGTCCGTAAGACGCTGTTTGGTGGGATGCAAACATAGTATTAAATAGCACTGAATCATGTAATGAGAAGATTACTTCCATTTAGATTGTCTCTCCATCCTTCTGATTATATCCAAGAGAAAAATTAGTATGGAACGAGTAGGCCTCAAACACCTGCCAAACAGTTTCTAATCCTCCTTTGCAACAAAGAACAGATCAAGCTTTAGGCTCAGAGCTGTGCACTACAGTGTTATCTAGATATAACTATCAGCTCTCTCATTGTATTTCTATACCTACTTTCTATTTCTGGGTTATCAGTTCTTCATTGAAAATAACAATATAAAGTTTCCTTTAAAATATTTTAAAGCAATAAATAGAAATTGATCTAAAGAATTTATAGCTAGTACACAGACCGAGGCAGAAATCTTGAGTGTGGTCTGCAAATGATTAGAATTTGAGGAACTAGATTAGTTCATCATTCTGTTTATTTTAAAGACTGGAATTAAAGGCTCTCTTGGACTATGTATCTCTGGAAGTCATAGTGGTGATGAGTTACCCCCATCAAAGGCTTAAATTGAATACAAACTGTTTCTAACTTAATGAGCTGAATTATTCTTATCCTGTCTGAAACATATGGCTTTATATTATACTGTTTTTTTCCATATTCAAATGTAACTGAGTCCTATATTGTTTAAGTCTATAAAACTGAACAGTTAGTATCCCAGAGGAATGTGAGCAACCCACTGAAAGTGATGGCTGAATCAGCTTTGTATTCTCCATCCTTAGTTGTGCATCTTGCCCATATTCATATATTTAGATATTTCTTAAGTGAATGGATGGGTGCATGATTATAGTGAATGGAGCTGCTAGGGGTGTCTTTGGTTGGTGTCTTTTACATTGAAGCAACATGTGGCCCTGAAGAAAGGACTTCTAAGATTTTGTAGTAACATGATAAATAGGAAAGACATAAATCCTAACAAACCCAAATTTGATTTTCACTTCTTCCATTAACTATTTATACAACCAGGAGTAAATTATTTTAATATCTGAAAATCGTTTTTCTCACCTCACTTGTAAAGTTGTTGTAAAGATTAAACATGATTGGAATATATGTAAATATATGAAGGGGAGGGATTACTATGGCTAAATGAAGAAAAAAGGAAACTCATTGGAAGGATATGGAGAGTCACAGAAGTAGGCTTTAGAGAACCTTTAGATTGAGGGATTAAGACAGCATAGCAAACGCCACATATCATTTTCACAGAAACTTCATTTTTCACTTCCAGACTTTTTAAAGGTAAATCCTACCTCTATAGGCAGAAAATTCTAACGAAATTTTCAGTACAGACATGTAAAATGACTGTTATAGTCACTTGAGAACAGGACAGGCAAAAAAAAGACCTGAATTTTTGTTTTATTTCAGTCACTTCCCTCAAGGCTTAGTAAAACTATAGAATATTTCTTTCCCCATCTCCTGGTTTCTCTCTGATTGACTGCAGTGTTTACAGAATTCCAGTAGCTCAGAAAACTTGAAGTAAATGTGAAAAAGGACAGGATCTCACTCTGTCACAGAAATGATACTATTAGCCTGCGATGGGGACTTAAAGATTCCATGCACTTTTACTAAATCTTCTACTTTTTAATTTAGTGGTGTCTCCTTATATATGAGAGTCATACAGTCAAAGACTACAATGCCAAACAAAGGCAAACTCCAAGAGTCTTTTGTTCACTAACAGTGTGATATAGGGTGTAACAAATTGGGGGCAGCCAGGTGAAAGTGGTTTGCCCCTTCGCAGAGGCAAACATTTATAAATGACACGTAGGATCACTATCACATGATAGAGATAAAAAACAGACCAACCTTTTTAGTTGTCTTTATTATTGCCTTAAATTCTCTATAGGCAAATGAGTCCCTTTGTTACCTACACCCTAGGGCCGACCAGTGCTACTGCCCCACCTCATTCAGGCAATTTGAACCTGAAACTGTTTGTTCCTCTTTGGAGAAAGAAAGAAGGACAAATGATGCAGTTTTAGCTTGCTTAATATGGATCAAAAGGGAAAATAGACCCCAAGTAGGGAAAACTGAAGGAGGTTCATTGATACAAAGGAGTTTCCTTCAGAAACCATACAGATGTTTGACTTGGGACATGGATGATATAGGACAGATCTGAAAGAACATCTAGCACCCCTATGGATGTAATGTGTTCACAGATTACTTGCTAAGTTAAGTTGATTTGTTTTAAGAAAATTGGGAAGGCAATATCTCTAGGTTCAGAAAGGCCAAGTGTAATTTCAGGAGGCAAAATGAGGAAATGTTTTAAAGGAAAGGAGGTAGAAAGATTAAGAAACAGTACTACAGGAACATTTTTCTATTCCTTGTAATACGGTTTCTGGAGGCAAATTGCCATTTTCCTTTTTTCCAAGGCTAATCAAGGAAAAAACAAAAGACTTTGTTGTACTATATTTAAAATGAATATTTAAGCAAGCTGTGAGAAAGACTTCTTGTGGGTCTGGACTAGGGATTTTCACTTCATACATTATTCAGTATTCCTTGCTCTAGCTACAATACAATACATAGCCGTTTTCTCTACTGCGCTCATTAGCACCAAATATTTACACTTTGTGGGAAGGGTTTTATTTTATTTTAAGTAAATTTTGAAAAGTGATTGGAAGATATTTATATTTATTTATCTTTTGTATTCTTTAGAAGGATACATAAAATATAGTAAGCTATCTTAAATTTTTGAAAGAACAAAAGAAAGAGAAGCAAGTGTGGGACTATATAAAGAAGCAAAGAGCTTGTAATGAGATGAAGGTTGCCTTCTTTAGCTTAAGTTATGATAACCACTGGCTGGCAGGAATTTGAGATAGGAACTTAGGCAAATTAGACTGTCTATTAGCTGCAGAACCATCTGCCTTAACAGACCACTGAGTAAGGTGTTGGTTAGCTCTCATTTATGAAAGCCAAAAGAATAACAACTTTTGTTCTTTGGTGGTTGAACAATTGCCTCTGGACATACACAAGTTTTTTCTAAAAATCTTGCAGTTACTCCATCACACAAATAAATGATATTTAAGGTCCCAAATCATGACCCACAGGAGTTTGAATATGAAATGGTTTCAAAATGGATTTAGCCGGTTGCCCACCTCAACCAAAATAATGTATTAATTAAACATCCTCTGAACATGTTAACCATGGCCATTACATTTTGACTAGGAAATGGGAAGAGTTTGCCATATGGATCATGGTAATGATGGTGACTACAGGTCCTCCTTTCTGCTGAGTTCTGCTGTGTTTTATCATCTGTTCTGGCTGCTGACTCTGGATGTAGATAACCTTCACATGGAGAGTTACTCATAGTAACATTTCTTAAGGACCATATTGTTTCAGAGAAAAAGGCTCATAAACTTCTGAGGAAGGTCTCTTTCCCGTCAGAGTGGTATTTGGACATTGTTAAAGGAAAAAAAAAAAACCTCATTCTGACACTCATTAAGAATGGTAAAACAGACTTCATTCAGGGGTCAACAACATTGGAGTTTATAGCAGAGGAGAGACACTGGGCTCAAATCTGAAGACAACAAGAAAGAGTGGCGGTTTATAGTTAAGGAGCAGTGGATGGGAAACTACTAAGAGAAAATATCAGAGGCAAAGAAGAATTTCTTGCTAAACCATTTTGATAGGAGTCTTGCCAAGGTGGTCTCAGATACCAAGGGTGGGAGATTCTTACAAAACTGACTTAATAAGAATCTTGCTACAGTGGGACAGTGTAAAGATAAGGGAAGTCCAAAGATTGGGTCCCAGTCAAGGAGATGATTCAGAAGAGCCTGGCTAAAGTTTGATTACGGAGAGAATCTTTGTCAATAGAAAACTAAGTAAGTTCCAACTTCAAAGAAAGTTACATAGCTTCAGAGGCAAACTGCAAAATACTGAGCCTTTACCTCATATACCCACACATTGTGCTTACTAGAAAATAACTAGGTGTCCTATAAAAAAATGACATGCTTAGGATGAAAATTTAGAAAATAAAAGTTTCAAATTCATGTTTCAGTACTATGTCTAATACTGGCATTTTAAGAGCTTTGGAAAGAAAATTAGGTTTGTAAATAAGTTGACTTTTTCTTTACCTGTTTCTCAGTTCATTGAGTGCCAACTGAAGCTTTGGGAGATTAAGATTGAAACAGTTTCCCTAGAGATAGTTTTACCATTTTAAATGATTTGCAGTGAAACAGGAAATATCAAAAGATGTTTGGCTCTTAACAATATAGATTTACCTCATAATTTCATTAATTTAAGAAGCAGTGGCATGGAATGCACCGTGTAGACTCATGCTAATGCACTGAACTATTTGTGTGCCATCCTAATTCTAATTAACTTTCAGAAAGTGTGTAGTTACATACCTTAGCTTTGCAGGCCCTGCATTTCTGTCATTCTGATCACTCATATGCTTGGAAGGACCTAGAAAAAGTGAGGCCTTGAAAACCTGAGAAATAAACATATTATGCCATCTCCCTGGTCCTTCCTATACTCATCTGCCCTTTCTTGGCATACGTGTGATCCGTCCAGAGCGGTCTGAGACTGAGTCCTGTGGACTTTGCACACAGCTAGTCCTTATGAATGATTCTGCAGAAGCCCTGAAAATAGAGTCCCCTAAGCTCCAAGGAGTTACTCTTTCAGTATAAAATCTCTAACTGAAGGATAAGACAATTCCCTCTGCACATTCCTTTCCATCCAGTCCCTTCTAATGACCACACTGCCCTGTCTAGCTTCCTGTAGGACCCAAAAGTTTGGCCCAGCTGAATGGTGCTAAATATTGTTAATTATGTTGGTATATTCTGGTCACTTTCAGAAGCTAATTAAGGCTTGCGGGCCTGAATAGTTTCATTTATGAATTAATATGCTCAATTTAATCTATTTATAGGATGTAAAAGATTTGGAATATATAAGCATATTCATAAAAGATGTCTTTTATTAACTAGAGGTCTATATTCATACAGAACCTTTAACATCAATGAGTGACTTTTCAGTATAATGAGAAATAAAAACAAAGTTCATTTTTTAATTTTTCTATTTTTCAGAATGTGTTAAATATTAGACATAAATAAAATGGGGACATGTCTCAGAAAACTAAAGAGATTTTCAGTGTTACTTACTTTGTCTGACTTCAGATGTCCTACTTGATTTTTTGTGATGCGCAATTTTTAAATCCCCTTTATTTTATAACATCTACATTCAAAGCTTTTCAATATTAAACTTCTCTTCTTGTTTTTGAGATTATATATATATGTGTGTGCTCTAATTCTAATCACAGCATTAGCATTTTATGTCAAGATTTCTGGAAATTGGTTTGAATTAGAATATATAGTTTTGAGGCTATGTGCCACATTGGAAACATGGGTTTTTTTTTTTTTCTGTTTTTTTGTGTTTTTTTTACTTCTTGGATTGTATGGTTTCACCTTGTTTATGTGTGTGTGCAATTCTCTGTGTGTGTTAATTAACATTAAAATTACAAATGAAAACCCATCTGGTAATTCCGAATTAGTACTTCTTGGACTATAGTCGATAAATACTTCATCTTAATGTTCTTTGTTAGAGACTGTATGCCCTCAAGTGGAAATATTGCCTTTCCTCATGTGAAGTAGATGTAAAAGAATAAGTGAGAAATGAGATTAACTCATTCATGTAGCAAAAAGAAGGACAGCCAAGCTTTAAAGGCCACAGTGAGTGCTCACAGCAATAGGATATATACTAAAATTGGAAGGATGCAGAGATTAGCATGGCCCCCGAGCAAGGATGACATGCAAATTCGTGAAGCGCTCCATTTTTGACTAACGGTGTGCTGTAAGAAATATTAACTAAACATTAAAAAATTTTAGAATTTCTTAAAAATATAAATAAGCAATAAAGGCTTATTTTGTTTGCTGCCATCTGCCTGCTGTTGTCTGGGCCCAGAGGCAGGGGCTCGGCTGCCCTTATTACGTGGACACACCCATGTCCTTCCTGACGCATCATCTGCTCACCTGGCCTCTGGTTACCCTGCAGCCCCTCACCCAGCATTTACATGTGTCCGGTCCCAAATACCTGAGTCGTGTTTACATTTTCCTTCAGTTCAAAATCATTTCTAGTTTGAATTATTCTTTAACCCACAGGTTATGGGTTATTTAGTTTGCAAATATTTGAGAGATTTTCCATAAATCTTTTTTTTTTATTTCTAATTTGATTCTGTTCTGGTTACCACACATACCTTGTAAGACTTGAATCCTCTTAAATTTATTGAGACTCATTTTATGGCCCAGAATATAATCTATCTTGGTGAATGTTCCATGGGCACTTGGAAGAATGTGTCTTCTGTGGTTTTGTGGTTTAATAATTTTGTTCATCTTTTATATCCTGATTAATTTTCTCTCTACTTGTTCTATTGAGAGAATAGTTGGAAATTTCATATTTGCCTGTTTCTCCTCACAGTTCTTTCAGATATTTTGAAGTTCTGTTCTTAAATGTATAAACACGTAGAGTTGTTAGGTCCTATTCATAGGACATGAATTCATGTCCTAATCATAATGATAAAAGATTGACTTCATTATGAAATGACCTTCATTGTCCCCAATAACATTCTTTGCTCTAAAATTTGCTTTGTCTGATATTAATATAACCACCCCTTATTTATTTTGATCAGTATTAGCATGTTATATCTTTTCCCCCCATTATTTTAACTTTAAACCTTTTGTTTTATATGTAGTGTGTATTTCTTGTAGAAAGCTTATAGTTGGGCCTTGCCTCTTTAAGTCTAATCTGACAACCTCTGTCTTTTAATTTGTATTTAGACTACTTTTCTTTAAACATGACTAATGTTAAGCTTGTGATTTTAGATAGTATTGCCTGTGTAATACCTTCTAACATGTCATTGCCTTGCTTGGCCTCTGGTTACCCTAATATCCATCACACAGAATTCACATGTGTCCAGCCCAAAAGACTGGATTTGAACTAACAAGGAATTTAAAACTAGAAGCGCAGCTATTCTAGAAATTCCTGGACGATGCAAAGTACCAAAACTGACTCAAGGAGAAATAGAAAATCTAAAAAGATCTGAAACAAGTAAAGACATTCAATTAGTAATCACACCACCACCCACCTGCCCCCCCCCCCCAACACACAACCCAGTACTGGAAGACTTCACTGATGAATTATATCAATGATTTAAAGAAGAATTAACACTAATTCTTTGCAAACCATTCTGAAAAATAGATAAGGCAACACTTCCTATTCATTATAAGAGGCCAGTGTTACCTTGATGCCAAAAATAGATGAATACATCACAAGAAAACAAAACTACAGACCAATATCTCTTATGCATAGAGACATAAACATCTCAACCCAGACAGAATCCAGTAACCTCCAAAAAGAATCATACATCACAACCAGGTGGGATTTAGACCATGAATACAAAAATCAATCAATGTAATTTGTATAATAGAGTATATTAACATAATAAAGGACAAAACCACATGATCATCCCAACAAATTCAGAAAAAGCATTTGACAAAAATCCAACACACTCTCATGATAAAACACTCAGCATACTTGGAATGGAAGGGAACTTCCTTATCCTGATAAAAGTTATCTATGAAAAACCCACAGCTGACGTCATGCTTAATGATGAAGGACTGAAGCCTTTACCCCTAAGATTAAGACCAAGACAAGAATGTTTGCTCTTGCTACTTCTATTCAACATTGTCCTAGAAGTTCTCACCTGAGCAGCTAAGCTCCAAAAAGAAATAAAAGATATCCAGATCAAAGAAAGAAGTAAAACTATTTGCAGGTGACATGATCTTCTGTAGAGAAAATCCTAAGGAATTCACCGAAAACTATTAGAACTAATAAACAGGTTTAGCAGTGTTGCAGTGTACAAGATTGAAATGCAAAATCAGTTGTATTTTACACCCTAGCAACAAGCAAAAACTGAAATTAGGAGGAAATTTTCATTTACAATAGCATAAAAATAAAATATGTAGGAATGAGTTTAACAACAGAACTGCTAGAAAGGTACCCTGAAGAATACAAAACACTGTGGAATTAAATTAAAGGAGACCTAGATTAATGGAAAGACCTCCCTTATCCCTTGTTCATGGTTTGGAAACCTTAGTATTTCAGATTGCTATCTTTCCTAAATTGAATCAGCCTAATTCCTATTAAAATCCCAGCTAACTTTTTTTGTAGAAATTGACAAGCTGGTTCTAAAATTTGTATGGAAATGCAAGGGGACTAGAATAGCCAAAACAATCTTAAAAAAGAAGAAAGTTGGAAGACTCATACTTCCTGATTTTAAAACTTACTTCAAAAGCTACAGCAAGAGGAAGAGGCACCCAGATTAATGCCAGGTTTCTCCAGGCCAAAGAACGAGGTCAGACCTCTACTCTACACCATTTACAAAAATGAATTCCAAATGGATCAAGGACCTAAATGTAAGAGCTAAAGTTAAGAGGTCTATAGACCTCTTAGAAGGAAACATAAATATTCATAGTCTTGGAGAGAAACCTAAAGTACAAGCAAAACAAGAAAAAAAGTAGATAAATTGGACTTTACCAAAATGAAAAAGATTGTACATCAAAGGATATGATCAAGAAAGAAAATAACATGGGTGCAAGGATAGGCAAAATGGGTGAAGGTAATGGGAGATACAGGCTTCCAGTTATGCAAAGAATAAGTCACAGGAATAAAAGGTACAGCACAGGGAATATATCAATGATATTATAATAGCATAATATGGTGACAGATGTTAGCTACACTTGCAGGGATTAGAGCATAATCATGAACTTGTCAAATTACTATACTGTACACCTGAAACTAATGTAACATTGTATATCAACTATACTTCAATAAAAAAGTGAAGAATGAAGGTAAAAATCATATAATCTCAATAGGTGCAGAAATAGCATTGACAAATTCAATATCTATTTATGATAAATGCTCTCAACAAAGCAAGTATAGAGGGAATGTACCTAAACATACTAAAGGCCATATATGATCACAAGACCACAGCTAACATCGTACTCAGTTGTGAAAAGCTAGAAGCATTTTCTCTAAGATCAGAAACAAGACAGGATGCCCACTTTTCCCACTTTTATTCAACATAGTATTGGAAGGCCTAGCCAGAACAATTAGGCAAGGAAAAGAAATAAAAGGCATCAAAATTAGAAAGGAAGAAGTAAAGTTGTCACAACTTGCAGTTGACATGATCTATACAGAAAATCCTGAAGACACCACCAAAAATTTAATAGAACTAATAAATGAATTCAGTAAAGTTGCAGGATCTAAAATCAATATTCACAAATTTGTTGTGTTCCTCTACATGAATAACAAACTATCATAAAGAGAAATTTAAAAAACAATTCCATTTAAAATTGCACCAAAAAAAGTAAAATACTAGGGATAAATACAAGAGACCTGTACACTGAAAACTATGACACATTGATGAAAGAAACTGAAGACATTGGAAAGAACGAAGCTGGAGGCACCATGCTCCCTAACTTCAAAAGATATCACAAAGTTATGGCAACCAGACAGTATGGCATTAGGGATGGAACAGAACACCATTCATTAATAAACCCATTCATATATGGTGAATTAAATTACAACAAAGGAAGCAAGAAAGGGGAAAGAATAGTCTCTTCAGTAAATGGTGCAGGGACAACTGGACAGCCACATGCATAAGATTGAAACTGAACCATTATCTTACACTATTCACAAAAATTAACTCAAAGTGGATTAAAGACCTGAAACCATGAAACTCTAGAAGAAAACATAGGGAGTAAACTCCTTGATATCAGTCTTTGCAATGATTTTGAATTTGATTTCAAATGCAACAGCTTTTATAAAGCAAAAATAAACAAGTGGGACTACATCAAAATAAAAAGCTTCTGCTCAGCAAAGAAAACCATCAACAAAATGAAAAGGCCACCTACTGAATGGGAGAAAATATTTGCAATTCATTTACCTGATAAAGGGTTAATAATCCAAAATATATAAAGAACTCATAAAACTCAATAATGGGGGTATCTAAGTGTCTCAGTCAGTTGAGCATCTGATTCTTGGTTTTGGCTTAGGTCATGATCTCACAGTTCATGGTTTTGAGCCCCCTATGGGGACTCTGTACTGCCTGCTTGAGATTTTATTTTATAGTAGCCCCAAACTTGAACCAACCCACGTCCAGCAACAGAAAAATGTATAAGCACGTTGTTCCTGACGTGATGGAAGTGTGGGTTATATAAGATGTTGCACTCATCAAAAGTCATTGTTTTGTGCACTGATTTGTGTGTTTTGTTCTGTGTAAATAAATTTAACTTTAATAAAAGAACTGGAGGTTCAGTTGGTTGAGCATCCAACTCTTGATTTCAGCTCATGTTCTGATCCCAAGGTCATGGGATCAAGCCCTGTGTCCAGCTCTGTGTTGAACATGGACTCTGCTTAAGATTCTCTTTCTCTCTCTTCCCCTCTTCCTACCTTTCATGTGCTTGCTCTCTCTCTTGCTCTCTCGCTCGCTCTCTCAAATTAAAAAAAAATCTATATACTAAAAAAAGTGAAAAGAAAACCGACAGAATAGGAGAAAATATTTGCAAATCTGATAAGAGTCTGATATCCAGTACATGTAAAAAAGTAATACAACTTAACAACTAAAGGACAAAGAGTCCAACATTAAACATGGGAATTGAATTGAATAGAATAGATAATTTTCCAAAGATATACAAATGGCCTGTATATACATGAAAAGATGCTTAACTTTTCATTAGTCATTAGAGAAATGGCTATCAAACCACAGTGAGATAGCACT